ACTAAAACCGATTTTGATGCTGCCACCGCAGTTTGTCCTTGGTAGTGGCGACCTGCGACCATGGAGATATAAACAGCTTTTTATAAGGTAAAAATAATAAAACAAGGTCTTTGTCTGCAATGATTAGACATGTTTTTTATTATTGTCATTAGTGATTATCTCAATTTTGGCTAAAAGAATTGACAAAATCCTACACACTGTGCCTTTAAAGTGAGTTGCTTTCAAGCTACGTTCAGTCTGAGCACTGTTTACTAAACCAGCGGCTGCTGATGTCATTACGCTCTTGCGCGATGCTGCGTTCAGGACAAGCATGGAAAACCCACTACTATTACACCAAAATGGTCGCAATGATGCGTTTAGGTACCGAAACATGGTACCGTTTGATGTTACGTGAATAGGTACTTGGTAGTACTGACAGAATTCGGTCGGTACTTATAAAAGTATCAAATTTGGTACCCATCCCTACAAACAGTAAGAAAAAAAATTATAATGTTTCAGCTCACTGGCGGGCCGGATGGAAGTCACCTACAGGCCAAAGACGGCCCGCGGGCTGCCAGTTGCCCACCCCTGCTTTATCGTTTTCACACAATCACAGTTTAACTTCTCTGCTTTTAACAGAACATTACTGACATTAGAGAGTTTTTAAAATCAGAYTTGCAGTTTTCACACAGCCTCTGTTTGCCCCGAGGCCCGCTTTCACTTTGCATTTTTCTCTGCCWCTTATTTAACCCCCCAGTCAGGGAGTGAGAGGCAGGTGTGTGGTCACCACGGTGATCACATGGCGCCTCTGGCAGCAGCTTGAACATTTCTTCATATGTTAAGATGTAGGCGTCTTTAGCTGCACCTTAAAAAATAAAACTCTTCTGAAATGTTCTGGTTTTCTAACGTAGAGTTAAATAACACTAGAGTGAGCCCCGTCCTGTTTGCACCTGTGATGACACAGAGGAGCAAAGATCACAATAAATTTCACAGATTTTTATAATTGTTAATTATAAACAGCTAGATACTATATACAACAAAAATGATCTAAACCAGACCTGATTACAGTAGATCACACGGTCCAAAGACTCACTCCTGTTGTTCTATAGACCAGTGATTCTTAACCTGTGGGCCATGAGCGCCACCTTGAGGGCCTCAAAAAAACAACAATTTTTAACTTTGGGCCGCAGAGGGCCGTGGGACCGCATTGATTTTGAATAAGGTGCAATACACTTTCTCACCACTAGTAGCGGTAATGCGCCACTCAGATGTTTAACAACTTTTTTAATATGTAGAAGAAGAACCTTAGAAACCTGCCGAGAATGAAAACATCAGTAAGTAAACTGTAAGTGTATTTAATTTAGTTATGTTAGTTATGATAGTTTAGTTATGATGTAAATACAATAAAATTAAACCAACATTTAGAATAATTATCATTTTGATCCGTACATTGGTAATGTCTGACTGGGCCTCGTGTCACTTTATGTTCAACAAATTGGGCCTTGAGGTCAAAAAGGTTACGAACCCCTGTTATAGACCTCCATGTTTCCTAATTATTGTCTTAATTATTGCATTTCATTCAGTTTGGTTGATTAAAACGGTCGATGTGTGTGTTTGTGTGTTACAGAGACCACACAGAGTGCCCGGTGTCGGCCTGTACGTGTAAATGTATGCAGCTGGACACCACGGGGAACCTGGTGCCTGCAGACAGCAGCTAAACAGGAGCTGACGCGTGTTGGGAACCCAAGCCAAAACACGAGCCAGAAGCTAAACGAGGCCGACCGCCGAGAGGAGCGCCGGCCGCGTCCCTCCCTCCGAATCGGCTGCTTGAAAAAGAAACAAGCGCTGCTGAGTGATGATCTAGTGGACGTCGTGTACTAACCGTGAACGAAGAAGGGAAGCAGAGCGAGCCGGTGAAGTGAAATCCAAAAGGGAGCTAACGCTAATTTACTGCTCAGCTAATAAAAACAAAATCACTCAGGAGAATTTACACGAGGCTCTGCTGCAGCCTAGTTCAACTTGAATCAGGATAGTTATAATTTGTACACTTATAAGGATGATGAGGTGTAATCACAGGTGTCTGAAGTGAGTTTTTTTTAGTTATTTCATGTCTTCAATGGGAAAAGTCTTTACATACCTCATAAAAATTCAGTTTGGTGTCTGTGTGTGAGGGGGGCGGACTGGGTGACAGTAAGAACAATCTCAAGCTCTCCTTGTGTTGCCACTCCTCGGCTGTCTTTGTGTGGGAGGGGGTGGTTTTAGGGGGGAGAGGGAGGGAGGGTGCGCATGCATTCAGCAGCCCACTCCAGGSCTGTGGTCCGTGAAAGAAGCTCCCCAGAAAACGGCAGCTGCTCGGCACTCTGACAAGACCCTCCAGATTGTTCTGCTCATAAAGACCCTCAGCTGCCGGAACACTATTGATTCAAAGAGAGGACGAGAAAACAGACAGCCTGAGCCCCCGCCTTCCTCCCACCGTACCACCTCCAGATATGAAAACTGCCCCTCTCTTTTATTTCTACCCCCCACCGGTGTCTTAACCCCCCCTCCCCAGTACCACACATCAATCCAAGGATGGGCGCCATCTGTGGGGTAACTGTCCCGTGTAAAACACATTGTAAACGTTGTTTACAATGGTGTGTGTGTGTGTGTGTGTGTGTGTGTGTGTGTGTGTGTGTGTGTGTGTGTGTGTGTGTGTGTGTAGCAGGATCTCATCCCGGTGTGGGAGGTTTTACAGACCCACGTGCCCTTTTTAGGAGCTGACAAATGATTGAGCTGTGTAGCGTCCAGAATTTACTTTTACTGTTTCTTGTGGGGGTTTTTTTTTTTTTTTTGCCTTTGAAAATAAATCACTGACGAATTGGAGTGTTTTTATATTTGTTTATTGACACAAATGGTGTAGTTTTGTCTGTTTTAAAAACATCCTCAGACCAAAAACTGGAGAATGTGATTGATTCTGGACGTCTGAACCTCTTGGCTCATCTTTGGCTTCCTGCCTCGAGCTTTCAGCTGAAGTATACAGTGTAGTAATTTTTTTAAAAGTAAATGTATTTTGGCAGGTTGTCGTGGAACGATCATCCCGTTGGCTCAGTCGCTGAGGTTAAAATTTTGTTTTTCCTTCGGAAAACAGCCTTTGACCCACTGTCTCACCACATTCATTGGCTAAACATGTTAAGGCATAAAAGGAATTTGACTAGTTTCTGGAAGCCCTCAGAGCGTTTCTGCAGCGAAACAGGGACATAAATACTCGAAACTTACTCAGAGATATGAGCTTAATGGAACAAAAAGTTTTAAGTTATGCTGTTTAATTTAAAAAAGACCCTAAAAACATTTTAATCTAATTCAACAACAAATTTTTTATAAAACAAATAATTTAAACTTTTCTGCTTTGTTCTGTCAGAACAAAAAGTGAAATGTTTTTAGGCCAGATTGTTGGATAAATATATAGATTATTAAAGTAACMAGCTAAACTTAGTAAAAGGTTGTGCAAAAGGATAGCTACAAGTAACAAGTAAGTGCTAGCTGGAAGCTAAGACATTAGCTACAATATAAAAGTAGCAAAAACTTTAAATCTGTAAAAGTTGTGTGAAAGTAGTGTAAGACTAGCTAAAGCAGCAACAGCGTAGATGAAAGCTAAGGTAAGCTGGAAGTAGCAAAAGGTTGGCTATAAGCTAATAGTGGCCTATAGTTGGCTAGAAGTTAAAACCTGCAAAATGGTAGCTGAAACAAGTAAAAGTAGCAAAAGGCTAACTAGGAACAAAAGGTTAAATTAAGCTAAAAGTGATAAATATTAGCCAAAAGTAGCAAAAGGGCAAATAAAAGCTAAAAGTAATAAAAGGTAAGTAAAAACTGATAGCTTAATGCTAAATGTAGCAAAAATGCAATATAAAACATAAAAGCAATAAAAGATACACAAAGTGTCAAAAGGCTGGCTATAAGCAAATAGTGCCCTTTAATTAGTTAAAAGTTAAAACCTGCAAAATAGTAGCTAAAAGTAGTAAAAGGCTAACTGGTAATGAAATGTTACATGAAGTTAAAAGCAGCAAATGCAAGCTAAAAGTAGCAAAATGGTATATTAAATCTTTAAAAAAGTGGCTAAAAGTTGGCATAAAAAGACAAAGTCATAGTTATTTAGGAGAGATTTCAAATCAAGACGAATAAAAAACTAAAAAGTTTTATTGCTAATGGTATTGTCAATTTTGCTTTTATGTAAATATGTAACTTATTGCAAATCTGATTGGCTAAGAGTGCAGTCAATCCCAGCGACAACCAATCATCAGGCTTACTGTACTCAACAAATCRCCAATCAGAAGCCGAAGCACGGGAAACTTTAACCCCGCCCCAGACATCAACCACTAGTCTGCCTGACAAACTGTCAAGTGAGTGGAACAGGATGGGGAAGACACAAGAGCTGCGAAACGCGAATTAATTTGTAAAAAGTAGTAACAAAAACAACTTTAAAGTTACCCATGTCATGGTTGGAGTTTACAACGGCTTGTATTAGTGTCTCTCACGTAAGTTTGTCACAAAATAATTCGTGTTTTGAGGGTTTTCCCCCTCCTTGAACGCATGAGTTGAATTTTGTTGAAGGAAGCTAGCGTTTTTCGCTAACGGGCTGATGTTTATCTTAACTCCCTCTCTCCTACAACCAAGCTCCAGAGAAGMAGCAGCAGACTGGGCGGCACGACGTGTTTTCCACCGAGATAAGACTCGACGCAGCCCGTTTCGCAGGATGTCAACCCCGGGCAGCAACTCTCTCCAGCAGCCGAGAGTGAGGCGCAGCAACGCGGGTTCTCCGGGTTCGTTCAGCGGCAGCGGCTGCCGCTTGCACCCCATCCGGGCCACCGTGCCCTACCAGCTCCTGCGCGGGGGTCCGAGCAGTCCGACCCGGGCTCAAACCCTGTACGCCGGAGCCAGCCGGGTCTCGACCAGCCCCCCATCCAGTCCGCCTCTCAGTTCAGGAAGTGTAAAGCAAAGACTGTCCCCTGAAAGCAAGGAGTCGTCCTGCCCCCCAGACTCTCCTGTTTCCAGAGGTAAAAACACCCCAAACCACCACCTGCACTTGTCCCATGCTATCATGTTGTCACTGTTTAGTTAATGTATTTAAATGTCAGAAGTATAACCTGTAAGGCTGGAGCAAGCGTGGTTTTGCTGCCTGTTGATGCGTATCATCCACACACAATTAGTCATTCATAAAGAGAATAGAATTAGCTCTGTTGGTTCATATGCACTTTTGAAAAGAAGAGGATTAAAGACTTGGCAGAAAGGCATGTTGCCACTTGTTATCTGGCCAATTTACTCCCAGTAGAAACCCTGTTGGGCCAAAGGTATGGTGTTCAGGCCTGAATTATTTCAAATTATAAGAAAGTATCTGAGTGAAAAGAAAAAAAAATCAGGATGTTTTATGTCTCCAAGTTCCACCAAACGATGGGTAAAGGTTTTTATCACTGGTTAGAACAGGGGTGTCAAACTGGGGCCTAAAATTCAAAACTTGGTCCGAGCCAGGGGCCTAATCTCTGTCATTATTTATTGAACAAAAAGTTGGTTTTAAATGTTATCAAATGAATTCTCATAGGATAAACACATTCCTTTTTACAAATTATAATTTTATGTAACAAATAAAGAAGAAAGACTGAACTTAGGCCTTAACCTCACTTTTATCACAATCCAGCAAATTAGTTAAACAAAATCCAGATATTTGACTTTAAAAGAAGATAATGCTGTTAAGACTGGGTAAATGAGTTTCGCTAAATTGCCACACACCAGGGC